TAAATAAAAGCATTTTTTTAGGTTAAAGGCCGTGTTTTTATAAATTGTCTAAAGTAGATTATTCCGATTTACTAATGTAAAAAGTGAAAGATATAAAATTTAAAAGTCATAGTCATTTCTCTACATTGTAATTGTCTGATAAAGCTGTGTGCACAGTGTACATCAATTAATTAAGTAGAATATTCGTTTCATGCATTTGACAATTGTCCTTCTAGAATGATTTTTTATACCAAGATGGAAGTAACTTGCTATTTTGTATAATTTATGTAAATAATACTCTGTTCAAACTAACTGGAACCTGGTATGGTATGATAGTCAGGACGTTCAACTCGCAATATATGTGTGAGTCGTGGGTTCGAAACCCGTCGCCGTATATACTCGCACTTTCGGCCGTGAGGTTGCTATAATGTGACGGTCAATCCCACTATTCGTTGGTAAAGAGTAACCCAACAATTGGCGGTGGCTAGTTTCTTTCCTTCTAGTCTGTCACTTTAAAATCAGGGACGGCGAACGCTGTTAACCCTCGAGTAGCTTTGCACGAAATTCGACAAACAACCAAAGTAGCCACCGAAAACACACTTAAAAATAATATTTAATTGATGGCATATATCCTTTTAGTTCATCCAGTTGCTAGCCGATTGTTGCTCAGTGCTAGAGTTACGAGCTGTGGATCGAAAGATCCAAGGCTAGAGCCCGAGATATACCAGTGAATACGCTCCGCACTTTCAGGGTGAACACTTTATAAAAGTGACAGCCAATCCTGTTATTCGTCTATAGTAGCTGCGTCGAGGAGGGGTGGGGGGTATTATGTAGTTACCTTCCATCTGGTAAAAGTTTCTAAATTAAGGACGGCTATAATTGACCTTTTAGCCTTTGTGTCGCATAAGGTCATAAATTGTCGTTCAAGTTGAAAATACGAAATGTCAGTCAGTAGCCTTATTACAACAGTGGTTAAAATTCTCTTGTATTATATTATTGTACCTACTAGTTTCGTATTAAATGAATCTGAAGCTACATTTATTTTGCTGTTGTTGTTTAATAACATTTTGAGAAACTTGTGATCTGTAAAACGTTTTCTGTAATTGCTATTTAGTTGCTTTTTTGGGCTTCACTTACGACCATGTTTTAGTTGAAAACTGCAAGACAGTTGTAACTAGAGCAACTTAAAAATAAAACTTTAAGAACAATACTGGAAGGTGTAAACAAAGTTAGGATTTTTGGGCTTTCTAGTGTCTTCTTGGTGCTGGACTTATAAATTGCTTTTCTAGCTTGAATCTGAATTCCATTCAACAGACTAAATGTTATCTTCCTGCATTATTATTATTCAGAGTGCTTTTATCATGTTTAGAATGACACAAACTAATAACGTTTCCACGGTCATCCTGACGAAGTTAATTTCATTTATTCATGTTTTAAATAATATAGGAAACAAAATCGGTGCACGTTTTTCTGGCAGCTCGTTATTCCTCAAATTTATAATTCGTCTCTATATGTTGAAAACATTTGATGGCATGAGAACTGAGGTAAACGGAGTTGCTTTAACTTTTTAACATAGGCTTCAAAAATGAAATAAGAAAGAACTTCGGTCGCTTATATACACAGTAAGATCATCACATATTATAATAATGAAATTTGAAAAGGAATATTAGTGCAGCACTCTTGACTCCTGGAAGATCCTCAAAATAGTATGATAAACTCATAATTTGGTTCTTTGATATTTGTTACTTTGTCTATTAATCTGACTACAAAGCATTGTTTTCACCCATAAAACAAACTTCAGCCTTATGTGAATTTCCATAGGATAGTCTTTTTAACATTTTGAAACCATTATTTGCATCAAAAAATAACTTACAATTAACTGTTCTAATAATTTCAGGATTTCATTTACGTGAGTTGTCTATTAACATTCTTGATGAATTCCAGCCCGATAGCTAATTAAATGTTTTCTTATAGGTCACTATATCTACTTTGTTTCAGTCTGTTGAGCATATATTCACCTTCAATTATATTTAAGTGACGTGGAAATGAACCCATTATCTTCGGCAAGAAAACTTAGCAAGGTGTCTTACATACTCTGATCTAATGACATTTTTTATTACTCGTTTTAAAACAGCTAGCAAATGCAGACGTCGTTGCTTGACTATTAATGGTTAATTATTATTTGTTTATTTCTTGTGACAGAATGCTCGTCAGGTCTTTCTATACTGACTTTCAAGATAGGAACATCTTTATTTATCCTCTCATTATTTTATTTGATGAATATTCTCGGACTAGACAATATTTTCCGTCCACAGTATTTTGTAAACATGATCAAATCTAATACACGTTCTTCAAAGATGAAAGTAGTCTCGTAAATTTTATATTTCCAGAAGTTATTACTATCATGAATGATCTCGAGAGATAAATGAATTTCTAAGCAGTGAGAGTGTAATACTTGGAGCAATCAGTTTAATACTCAGAACAGCACTATGACGACTGAAATAGATTTTTGCTATGGTTTTTACCGTTAGTTCTTCTCACTATCTCTTAAAGACTGGATATGGACGCCTACATTTTCTGTAATGTACAACGGTATTCATCCATATCTCTCACTACTGTTATCCACATAACTCTCTCTCTCTCTCTCACTACTGTTATCCACATTTCTCACTACTCGTATTCACATCTCTCGTTATCGTCATCCACACTTCTCACTACTGTCATCCATATTTCTCTTTTCTGTCAAACACACCTCTCTCTATGTGTTATCAACATCTCTTACCTGTTACCCACATCTCTCTCTCCTGTTAAACACATCTCTTACGACTGTCACCCACATCTTTATCTCTCTCAACTGTTATCCACATCTCTCTACTGTTATCCACATATCTCACTACTGTTATTAACATATCTCTCTACTGTCATCCACATCTCTCTACCGTTATCCACATATATCACAACTGTCATCCACATATCTCTCTACTGTTATCCACAATTCTAAGATTCATTTCTTTCCTGTTACTTTGGATAGCAATACGTCTGTTATCTGAAACAGTACATATTTATATCTTTTAACCATTTTATTTATCTTGTTTCGGTCGAAAGAGTGTTGGTTTTAGCAGAAAATAGGTCCATACATATTCAAATTAGCATATAAATTTCGAGTTAACACGAAAAATGTGAGGTAAGTATAGCAGTTTTTCATTGTAATTACTTTAAGTTTACTCAACGCATGAGCCGTGTAAGCTAGTGTCTATGTGTTAACAGACATGAACCATGACAATACTACTACTGATATACTTGATATTAGGAGAGAGCAGTATACAAAAATAGGAATCAACCATACGAATACCGTTTTTTTTCTCTCTCGTCAATACTTAATAAAGACGGTTTAATACATAGCTAATACATACATACATATATATATATATATATATGTATATACCTTCATACAAAAATTATTTAATGTAAATATTTTCGGCCATGTGTTGCTTAAAGTTAGAATTCAATGTTGCGGATAGGAAGATCATAGGTTCGAGTCCGCTATACGTCAAGGAACACTTGAAGCTGTGGGTGCTTTGTGAAAGTCAATGTCGTTATTCACTTAAGAGTTGTAAGATGTTACTGATTGGTTTACTTTCCTCTGGAGAACAGTTAGAAATAATGGAGGACTAGGTATGAATATTGGAGTCCATAGCATAAGTTGGAGTCCATAGCATAAGTTGGAGTCCATAGCATAAGTTGGAGTCCATAGCATAAGTTGCCCTTCAGATTGAAAATACCCTATAATCTAAACATTCAACTTACCTTTCTTCAAAAGTAAGGTTTATCTACAAATTCAACTAATCTTCATATGAAAATACGATATATCTAATAATCTAAATCAAAATCATTCAAAAGGTGTTATTGTGAAGTTCACAGAAATATTGAAATACTTACATTAAGTTATATATAGCTTATTAGAAGATTCACGTTCTTTTCTTACACAAAAATACACCTCATCTAATACACTTGCCTTACTTTTACACACGCTTTTATCTTTATTTTTAACGAAACATGATTACATTCAACTGAACCATTTACTATCTACTAAAAGGCATTAATTTACTTCACTTAACAAAATATTTTGCTCAGGACCATCTAGAGGGAGGCATCTGGGGCAAAATGCCCCAGACCCTAATTCAGAAAGATTCCTACGATGTAAATTATTGTTTAATAAATATTAAAAATATAGAAAAGTGAGCCAGGAAAAAAATGTTGGTAAAAGAAAAAACATGAATCGTATTAAATAAGGCACCCAAAAATATACAACATTTTTTTAAACTATCAGTGAGGTATCAGCTCACTGGTACTTTTCTCTTGAGTTTTATAAATTTATCGTCGTTTGACGTGACAAAAAGCGCCATGGTAACTGGATTAACCATAGTTTACATGCTAATTAATTAACTAACTTTCAAAACAATTTCATACAATATACTTAAGGCCATGTAATATATATGTATATATAGATAGATAAGATTCTTTTGGACGTGACTCCATATTTTAAGTTTCTAACAAATAACTGCATTATCCTCTATCTTCCAAAGTCATGTTTTGCATATATATACGTTACAGAATGGTGGTTCTCTACAGAAATTCAATATAGTATTTGACTTATAATAAAATCGTAAAAATATTTTTAAGAGACGATACTGACGTTTCGAGACCAGTTGTTATCGCTGATACATTAATTCGAAGTGCAAACATACGTTTCCTCCTACTCAGATCTTGTGCCATGTTTTGCTGATTTTGCTTCATATTTCATTGTATCTGTATTCTTCAATGCCTATCTGTTTCACATTTTCTTATTGGACATTTCCATCCAATCATTCCTCAGTTTAAGCGTAAAATCTAACTTATTGGAAGTCCTTGAATGCGCATGCTCTGTTATCAAACTCGCCGTAAATGTTTTGCGCATCTTAGTAGGATTTAGTGATATCTAAACTATATAAAACCCTGATTCTTATGTTGAGAAGTGCAGATGAGAGTAGCAGTAGGTGACAAGAGCAGATAGTCATTTTCTCAGAGGAAGAACCCAACGGGTAAAGTCAACAGTTTCATTCCGGTATTTATATACACTTTTTATATAACTCTAATTCATCTTAACGTATCATTTAACGAATCTGTAATGTCATAACAAACGAAAAATAACAGAAAACGCAAAACACTGTTTAGAACTGAAGGTTTAATTGTTTCAACATTAAATTTGCATTAAAGTTTTTCCATGATATTTTAATGGCTTATGATTTCTCTAGAAAAATTGAAACAGAGCTATACAGAATATTAACTACGAATCTGCTTTTTATTTGTAAAATAATAGTCTGTAAGAGGCCAGAGTATTTTTTAGGACGCCTAATTTGATTTTTTTAATTTATCAAATAGTTTGTTTCAAACCTGGCATAAAGGTTAAGCTTTGTGTATATATAAATATATATAACCAGGTTCCGTAGGGGAAAATTGTTATCTTTTAATTACTTCTTACTTTTCATTCATAATTTGATTTGCTATAGCATTATGTTCAGCGCTGAAGGGGTCAAAACTATAATTCAGACTATAACATATTCTAACAGGTGATTTGCGTTTTAAACTGCACCATTTTAAGGTGTCGCTAAAAAGATATTACTCCTTTAGAGTTTGCAGTAGTTGGATAAGACCATAAGTTTGCAAATACGTTGGTATTCATCACATTATTCTAAATACCAGCTCAACAATCAACAAGCTTATTTTGTATACTTGTCCACTACCATCAGTTATGTTTAAAACGGTCGTTTGTTGATGTTTATAATTCAAACTCCATTACTGTTAGGACCATTAAATGTTCTTCTCTTGATGTTTGTAATTCAAACTTCAATTATTGTTGAGCCATCAAATAAGTAACAAGAAATTGTGGTTAATACTTTGCCGTCGTGTATGTAAACAACATTTTACTGTGTTATTAATGCTTGAACAGAATCTTAAGATCTAACTAAAAGTTATTGGATTGTTTATTTTATATTGTAAAATGTTAAGGGTGAAAGTGTGTCACAAAAAATCACTTACTATAATTGAGATTTTTTTCTTAGTTTAATGTGGTAGTGAATCATTTGTAGCTAAAAGATATAACAGAAATTATATCTCTCAGTAATATAACCATTTAACATTTTCTTTCGCTGTTTAATCACACGTTTGAAATTTTTAACTCCAGATTATCTACAGAAAAGTATGAATAACACTACGTATTTTTATTAAATTGCTGTATAAATTTAACAAGCGAGCGTATAATCTATTCTCTGCGATTCCCGCCTACTGAATTTTTAATTAACAAGTAACAATTAGAGGAAAGGTAATGTTTCAACCATTTATTTTGAAACTATTTTGCATTCTTGAATCTCTTAATGCAATGAATTCCGAACTCAATACTTGCAAGATAGTAAAAATGTTCTTCGGGACTGGCGTGATGAAAAAGCCAGTTAGTTTTCTCATACTTCAATAAATACTCTGGGGTACTAAACATTTTTTTGATATTTTTCCGAATTCACTGTCTGCTTGTAAAGGTAGATTTCGTTTATTTTCATTTCACCACAGTTACTTGACAATTCACGCATGCCCATTAGGGGAAATTTCAATGCTCGTCTAAGCACTAAATAAAATTGTATTCATAACATATCGATAAATCATGGTGTGCTTGATGGGATTATGATCTGGATCTGTGAATATAGTAATGCATCATATGCAATGTCAAACTTAACTTTTCAATGTTGCTCATAAAACATGAGCAAATTTTTGTAGCGGAAAATATTGCAAACAGCGAGATTACCCAATTGATGAAAGCAAGAAAGTGAGAACAGTATATTCATTTAACTATACTCATTACTGAGTTGTTTTTTTTTAGTTTTGATCTAAGAAGGTAAGTTGCTTGGATCGGAAATTAATATTTACTGTACACTTCAGTCTAGTGAAGAAAAGTCTTTAAAGTTTATTTCTCAGCTACTATAATTTAAGACTAGAGATATTTATTATAAATAAGAATGTATATGAAAGAATTGATAATATTTGCTTTATTTTGATATTTATATATCTAAATATTGCTAAGAACAAATATACAAATTTACAAGTGGCAACTTGTGTAAGCTATTAAAAGGGCGATTAGAGATTATTATGGTATTCTAAATTTGTATTAAAAACTAAATTACTTATTGATTAAATACATATTAATGAAAACAATTTGGTGTACTAGTTACCCAGATATTTTTAATTTAATTTAATTAGATTCTACACTATAGTCAATAATGATCACAATATTATATATAATGCAAATCACTTGGGGAACTTAAAATAATTAATGGTTATATTTCATTGACCCATTAGCTTAATATCTTCACATTTTTCGACATTTTCGGATGTAATTAGATTATTAATTATATTAATTATTAACTATAATTATGTTCAGCTTCCAAGTCTACTCTATTCTGAACGTTTAAGAAAATACAGATGTGAACTAAATAGTATAAACTCGAATTCTAATAGCATGTCGATATTTTAAGCACTAATATTCATAACAAGTAATTAAATACCTCTTGAAGATGATTATTATTAATTTGAATAAGGTCAGTTTATTAAGTGTTCAAGCTTTAAAGTGAAAGATTAAATTGATCCTGTCTTAGACACGATAGCAAAATTATGAATAATTATTCTGGTTATCCTTTACTTACTATCTAACGCAGACGCCATACTTCAGTTAGGATGAGATTGTTGGTTACCAACAACATCCTGCTGAATATTAAAAATACCTTATGTGAATAATATAGATATTACTGGCAATAGTATTTGGTTGAAGTTTTATAAAAAAAAAAAAAAAAAGGTCACAACTTAATTTTTCTGAATGGTCTAGACATGGTCATCATTTTGATGCGATTAAAGACATTCAAAAGTCGTTAGGTTTTGTTATATACAGAAACGTGTTTCGTTATAAAAATCGTTTTGTTAATATATATACAACACATGAAGTGCATGAAGATAACAATAAATGTCAAAGTGTGGGAAAATATCCCACTTAATAATACTCGTGTAATACTATTCGTAAAATGTTTATTTCAATTTCGAAAATTGTTATGTATTTTAGATCCTAATATCTAAAAATTTCCAATGTCAGTACTTCCTTTGATATAGTAAATTATCAACGTTATAATATTTTAGTGTTTGTTTCATTTCCATTTCTATCAGCACTAAATCGTAATATAAAGTTTAGTCCATGATTTTTTTTTTCAATGATTGGAATTATGTGATAGAGGCCTTGGCTAAATACTTCGCTCGTGTCGGCGTCTTTATTTATATAAAACGACTTCTATTTTCGGCATACTTTGATTGCTGACCAGTCTCAGAGTGAGAAATTTAATGAAGTAGTTGTCTTGTTTTTATCTGTTTTTTAAAGCATTTTTTCCCAAAATTTTCTCATACTATACTTTCAGACGCTGAAATAAAAGATGAGGACAACAATCTGGCTTGCTTTTATTTCTGTTCTTTACCTTACTCTGCCAGCCACGACATCAAAGCCAACTCTAATGTCATCACAACTGAAAAAAATAGCTCGGCTAGTCATCCCTTACGTCAACAAGGTCCGCGGCTATGCAATACTACGACCAGGTACAGCTGAGTTTACGGTTCGCACTAGCGATTCGACTGGTCAAACCGGCGTTAAACAAGACGATGACGATAATGAAGTCCTACCTGATGCAGGCATTACAGACTTCGAAGATGGAGACTTGGACGATTTGCATGCCCCTCATCGCAGGTTTGATGACTATGGCCACATGAGGTTTGGAAGGAGTGGCCCCGCCAAAAAATTTGATGACTATGGTCACATGAGATTTGGAAAATGATATGTGGCACACATATTTTCTGTCAATGAAATATTAAAGTAACTAATACTGAAGCAGTTTATACATATTTGAGGAGCATGTATACGTATACAGAAATAAAGAAATATATCATATACTAATAAATGATAATCAAATATATTAAATAATGGGCATTTTGTGTTCTTAGTGATCTCTTGTGGCTTTAGTCCTGGGAAATAATTACCTAAATGTATTAATTACTAAATATTGGAGTATATTTCCCTGTACTTTTCAAAATGCAGGTTCTAAATCTATGTAGACCTTAAAGTAATGATACGTTTCATAACATTTTTACCGTCACGGGAAACTGACACTTATGTTTAGAAATGTCTCACATATCAAGAAATACAACAAGACTTTCAAATCAGTAGCACTTAATATGCTTCAGGAACTATGACTGAAGCAAATTTTCCCATACTGAGGTGTGTTGTTGGTTGTTTGTTTACTGTTAAGCACAAAGCTACACAATGGGCTATCTGTGCTCTGCCCACCACGGGTATCGAAACCCGGATTCTAGCGTTGTAAGTCCGCAGACATACCGCTGTGCCACTGGGGGCATGGAGTTGTTGGTTGTTTGTTTATTGTTTAGCACAAAGCAACACAATGAATTATCTATGTTGTGCTCTCCACAGGTATCGAAATCTAAAGTTTGGTATTGTAAACATATAGACTTATCGCTGTGCCACTTAAGTGCTGGAGTGTTTAGAAATGAGTTAATTTAGTGTTCAAAAAAGTTGAAATATTCGACACACTGAACTGTATTTTCATAAACACACTTGCATGAAAGATGAATTTAATCAGTGTACTTCACAAGCAGGTTTATTACTTTGGTTTATCATGTGAAAGGGTGAGAAATGGGATAGATCTAACAGAGATAGTCATCTTTCGATGTTATGTTTTCAAATAGGCTTTCATTTATAAAATCTTAGGTAGATAATTATACATTAGAAAGGTTTGTTTTCGAATACTCAGGGACTATTTGCGCTATATAAAAGTCTCTAATTTTGAAATAATAGGCTACTTTCCCTCTAAACTAGCACACACCGCCAACTCTTGTGCTACTCTTATCGCTCGACTCTACTAGAGAGGATCGCACTCATTGTTTGAAACAATAAGGAAAGTTTAGTTTAATATTTTTAGACAATTACGCCATTTTTTTCGCAAATTCAATTACTATTATTCATATTTATTTATTTAAAGCTAAAGTGAACAAAATACCAAAATAAAGATTATAAAATGCCTTATAATAAGTATTGCCGTGCAATTCATAATTACAGAAACACTTTTTTTACAAAAATTATTATTATGGGTCCTTTAAAAATATTGTTAGTATAAAGTAACACCTTAAAATGATCTTTAGTTCAAGAAACAAAACTGATATGACATTCCGCCATTATCAACTTTTCCTGGTAGGATGATGGTGTTGTTTTCTTGTTACAAAGCTACCCAATGGACTATTAGCGTTCTTTCCATTCCAGGGAATCGAGCTCCGAAGTTGTGCGTTGTAAGTTTGAAGATTTATCGCTGATCCACCAGCGGACTTCCTATTAGGAAGCAAGGAAGATGTAGTAATAGGTTTTTCATCTGTGTAGGAAGTATTTCAATGTGTAAAATATGTACAACTAGTTGTTTCATAGCGTGAAAAATAAGATTCATGTCATCATAGTTTAAGAACAATTTTACAAAATGAATATAGGATTGTTTAGATAAATGAAATTCAAAAGGTTTATGTGATTGCAAGCATATTGAACACGTAGATAGTTTCTTAAACATCCCACAGAGGGCGCTAGTACCAATTAAATTTGCAAATCAGTAAGTCTATTCACGTTTGTCTCCTGGTGGGACAGTGATAAGTTTACGGACTTGGTGCGACTTACTACGCTAAAATCTGGAGTTCGATTCTCAAGTGGCTTTGTTCACCCACAAAATATAATTAGAAATAAGAAATATGTTTAAGAATTTCCTTTATTTGATAAATTGCAGTGCTTTAATATCACAAAAAACTAATATTTTAAAAACCTTTTCAGTTTTAACTTAATAATATACATAGTTTTGATATAAAAAATCAGTAGCTCAACGGTAAGCTTAATGCCTTATAACGTTAAATTCGGGGTTTAATTTCTGCAGTGGGTATGCATAGATATCCCATTGTGTTTTTATGTGCTAACAACAAACCAGCTATAGTAAGAAATACATAAATGATATATAGCATTATACCATAAAGTATAATCCAGACAGTTATCAGAAACGAAAGATAGGTGGACATAAAATTATGGTGTATAAAACAATCAGATCTAGCATAACAAGTTTTTTATTTGTTTGCATTTTTCCCAAAGGTATTCGAGGGCTATTTGCTCTAGTTGTCCCTATTTTAGAAATTATAAACTAGAAGGAAGGCAACTAGTCAACAACAGCCACCTCCAACTCTTGGGCTACTGTTTACCAATAAAGAATGGAATTGACCGTCAAATTATAACATCCTCACAGCAAAAAGAGCGATCATTTTGTATTGTAATTTGAACCCACGATCTGCAAATTGTGAATAGAGTATCCTAATCATCAGGCCATGCCAGACCCTAGTGAAACAAGAATCAGTGTCACTGTAAGTTAGTATAAGGTTCATCGACTGTAAAATTATGTGTTGAATTCTTAGAATTATGTTAGACTAGGAAAACCTTTTCGGGTTGGTTAAATCCTTTGTTAATCTTTAATAAAATATCATTCATGTCAATAAGGAAACGAAGCTACTTATAGGAGATCAAATCACTTGAAATAAAATCTTGGCCATATATTTCATCAAACAAACCTCCTTAAACTTATATGACAATCTCATGTGTAATACTATTTATGGTCAACCTCTAAGGGTGTAGAATATGGTTGTATTTTTACTAATAACCAATTCACTGTGTGTTGGAGCACCGAATGATACGCGTGGTTAATGGTATTGTTACGACGAATTGTATATGATAAGGAACTAGCGTGTTGCCACAGGTGCGAGCCATGGTACCACGAGCTACATAATACCACTTAGCATCTAGTTTTTTGGTTCTCGGCGATTTCTCGTCTGCACGACAACGCAATATCGTCATAGACTTCTGGTGGTGGAGAAATAAAAAAAAATCTTAAAAGAAATATTCATATAGTGAAACTGCTAAATAATTTAGAATCAACGGACACAACGTCCTGTAGTGTGTTTAGGAAAGCAACGGTCTTCAAAACCACGCCCTAATTCAATCATACCAACGTATTCATCTACGATTGAAGACTATGGTTATGAAAGAAAACCCTCCGACCCAGAAAGCTTGGCATGTTTTCTTATACTATTAGTAAAATAATAAACACACATTTGAATTTAATGAATATTTACAAGCCAAACGCTCCCAATCTTAAAATCAACAGTTTTTTTTCATAAGAAAGATGATCGAATAAATTGAAATTTTAGCATCCAATTCGTTTATGTACCTGTGAAGTCCTCCAATTTAGACCCAATTATTTTTCATGTTTTTGATCTGTTTAAATGTGGCTTGGAAACTGATATACACGTACTGTGAAGAGCCTGTGGAAAACTTGTTAGTATGTATGATTGACTTCTTCAACTGGGCTTGACATGGCCTGATAGCTAAAGCCCTGGATTCACACACAACCTGCGGTCGGATGGATCGACATCCGCTCGCCCTTTCAGCCGCGAGAGTGTTATAATATATAAATGATTCCTGCTATTTGTTGGTAAAGACTAACCAGAAAGTTGGCGGTGGGTCCTAGCTGCTTTTTCTCTAGCTTATCACTTCAGAATTAGGGACAAATAGTGCAGAAAGCCTTCTAATAGCTATGCGCGAAAATTCAACAAACTTCGCTGAACTTCGCAGAAGCTTACTACAATAGAAATTTCAGTACGGGCTTCTGATCGTGCATGATTGTACACCTCTGTGAAGAAGATATTTTCAAGAACAATACGAGAGTTGGAACATTGTTTTCATAAAATACGATTAATCTTGGTTCATTCTAAATTTAAAATGTACGACTTCATCTTTATCAGTTATGTTACACTTTTAGTAAACTAACAGAAGTGGTTCCAACTTATAACACTGTTAGAGATCTAAAAGAGGGTATTAAACCTAAGAAAAATCTAGTGATTAACTATAAGTACCATTAGTAACTATGAGGAAGTTTCGACTTGAGAAATTCATTTGATCTAAAATACAATTTTCCATTAACGAAAACGTTAGCCATAAAAAAAAAACATTTTCCACTTCAACACAGACATTTGAAATATAATAATATTTTCACTTTAGCACAGACCTTAAAAATAAAAAAAAATTCCATTTCATTAATCTAAGAAAGTGTTTTCTATGAAATTTCAAAGTTTCTAGTGCAAACTGAAGAGTTGTATTTGTTGTTTAAAAGATCAATAAAACACGCCCTATTACTCCAGAAAACATGATCGGTTTTATTTAAGCCAACGTTTCAATCTTTACGGCATCATCGGGGTAAACAAGACACTTGCTAAATGATTTAGGCTTATACAAAATACTTTAAAATAATTTGAGTCGACGTAATAGGGTGGATTTCACGCGTAAATATATAAACATAATTGTTGTACAATTATATTGTTGTACATTGTGAAATTGAAAGTACATGCAAACAGACATAATTATGCTACTTTGAAGCATACATAAAATACGTTATTATATTAATTAAATATAAACAGTTATAATTAAAAATGTCAGGATGATATTTTGTTTAACTGCGGTCTATTCTCTGAAATTAATAGGGCTTCGTAGCATTTTCTATCTAAAACTGTGTCAGTGAGTAAGAATTTTTACTGTTACGGGACAGTCATTATTAATTACACTGTGTTTGTCAAGAAAATGCTCAGCCACATCACATAGTTCACTGTCTAATGTCCGTAGAGTTCGAAGGTGTTCATTTATTTCTCATATGCATACAGAACCAGAACGTTTGAATGTTATACTATGTACTACATTCATGTGGTTACAGTTTCCTCTTAAACCTGATTTACAACCTGCACATTTGTCTGCGGGTTTATTACATGTTTTGAATTTAAAGATTGATCTTACTAACATATTA